ACAGGTAACTTAAAAGTGTTCTAATTAGAGATTTTGAGTTCTTATGAAAACTCAAAATCAACAAAATTGTTATGATAATCTAACTAATTATGCATCATTTCATTAAATTTTAAAGTTATTATTTTGATTCCTTGAAATTAGAGTTAGTATTCCAGAAAAGTTTAAACCAAACATTTATATATAATTGTTGAAGAATAGCATCAAATTATGTATTAGATATTCTAGAACAAAATTTAGAACAAGACTAATTGGATATCATTGATGTTATACAATGTTAAGTTTCAATATGTGTCCAGGTTTATAACAACACTAGTATTCTGATATTCTATTTTGGTCTATAATCCTAATTACTCTTAGAGTATTAATAACGTTTGACATAAGTAATCAATTTACGTAAGTATTCAGATATTTTACTTTAGTTTTAATTGATTTAACAACATAGTATATTGGTTTGTTTTATTTTTCATTGACGTGCAATTGTAACTTTTAATATGAATCTATATTCTTAATATTATGGAATTATTTACATTAACAATAATTTATTGATGCATATAAAACTAAAATAATGAAGAAATTAAAAGAAAAAAAAAGACAACAAAGAAGAAGGATTTAACTTTTAAATCTAGCATGTCATTAGAACACCAACTTCAAGGAAAAGGTACAAACTTTAACACAATAGTATCATGTTGATAAGTATTATTAGAAAAATCTAGGCATTATGTATTCTGGTTTTGTAAGATTATGATACTATTTACTAAATTTTCGAGACATTTTGTCGTAAAAATATTGTGATATAGGTATTTATGTATAAATATTCTAGACATTTTGATCTTATTAGAAACCAGGAACGATTTAGGTATAGCCAAAGGCTTAACGAAAAGATAATTGTAAGGCTCGACGGATAAATTCAGTATTAATAAACAAACCAAGTATAGATAAAGTATTCTAGACATTAATATTTTGTTAGAAACTATTTTCTTTGAACCTTCTAGTGAAGTAATGTGTAATATTATGATAATATTTGATATAGTATCAACTTATGTGAAATATTCTAAAATTGTCTGTCGTAATCTAATTTTAAACATTCTGATTTTGTTGGAAACAAGCTGCTTTCAACCTTTTTGTTAACTATTGTGTAATATATGATTTTAGACTTTACATTTTTTTGGAAATAACATGTTTTGAAATTTTTGTGAAGTATTTTATCATATTGTGATTGTACCTGGAAATAACAACATGCAATTCCTTAATTGTAAATTGCTTGTTAAATGATTTTTCATTCTTTTAAATTTTTAGGATTTTAGAAATATTGTATCATTACATTTTATTTTATAATAGGTTTGGAACATAATTTTTTGTTTGAGAATAAATTTCTTCTTTATATCATAGTTTTATTGTTTTAACAAAAGCATGTTTTATTTTTTGATGCAGGGAAATGAAGAAATTACCAAATTTAAGGCAAAATGAGTTTTTGTCCTAAAGGAAAGAATGTACAACAATGTTTACCATCAAAAATAGATAAGGAAAAAAGTCTTAGTTCACGGTATCTCGTCTGATAGATCGTCAACCGACCGAAGACGGATCAATAGAATACGAAACAAGTATATATGACAATATAGTTGTAATTTTAGTATATATAAGATCTATAAATGTTGATATTCAATTTGTGTTATGTATTCGAACATTTTGTTAAATAATATGTAATATATGATTTTATACATTTTTCTTTTCTTTGGAAACAATTTGTTCTGAACCTCTTTGGAAAGTATTGTGATATCACTTTATTAATACTGAGGTAATGTGTCATATTCTAGAATTATGTGTCATATTCTAAAACTATGTGTCATATTATAATTTTAGAATATGTAATATTATAGAATTAAGAGTTAACGTTACAAGAATGTTGTTAGTTTAATTATTAATGCGTTGTTTATAAAGACATATTTTTCATAATATTGTTGAATCTTGAGTATCTATATTAATTTTGTTTATGTACATGAATTGAATAAATGGAAAAATCAAAAGCCAAAAGTCAATGAAACTAAAACAAAGAATCTCAATGATTAGAAAACCATTGATAATTTGAGAACAACATTTCAAGATAGTATCATAAATCTTCATCATCTGGTTACCTTGTTAGACAAAAGGATGAATATGAATCTCAAAAAGTCTTATCAAGTTATAGTCAAATAACAATGCACCAAAAACCATAAAAAATCTATTACATGTTTGTGACATATAAAATCTATTACATATCCATTAATCTCAATACTTATAGTTGAAAAAGTCTAGCTTCAAACATTCAAGTTCCTTTCAACTTCTGGTATCCAAAAGAAATAACCATGAGGTCAAATGATTTGTTTGCAAGAGCCATATTGCGCTGCAACCTTTTCACTTAGAACTACAAAAAACAATATACCACCACATTAACATATAATAAAAATAATGTGCATTCATATGACTTTAATCATAAATGTATGTTCAATATTCTATAAGAAAATATGCGGTAACATGAACTAATCAGCAACACGATGTTGATAATTAGAATTAATAAATTTATGATCAATATTCTATAAGAATAACTGAATAATTGATATTGGTAACAAAATTACATTGGGTTTCCGATTGATTTTCCTCATGATGGAGAATATATGAATCACCAATACTTAACATAAAACACTAAACATAGTATTGTTCTAATTATGAAAATATGTAGTGCTATATATATTTAAACAAATTTATGCTAAAAAAACATCTTAAATCTTTTTTTGTTTGAAATAAAAAAACCATTTCATTGTATTAAAGAGTTGGTTTCTATAGAAAACCAGATAAAAGAAATGTATAACATTAAACACACTAACGATGTCAATTATTATTGAAACAAAGTCATAAATTCTACTTCGTGGTGTAATGTTCTAGTTTGTAGCATAATATTCTAGTTATGGTTAATACTATAAGATATATTTAACACATGGTATAATGTCAACATTATAGTTCAGTCAGGTTTTAATGAATAGAGTAAAAAATTACATGACAAGGAGGATTATGACTAACCTGAACCTGTTCTACTTCATGCAAAACTAGTCAATGCATCTTTTACTTAACATGCAACTGACAAGGAGGACTGTGACTAACCTCAACCTTTCACTAAGATATTACATGTTCTTTAATCTCAACATATGTCGTAAGAACTTCTAATTTGAAACATTCAAGTTCCTTTCAAGCTGAGCTTCATTAACTAAATTTCTCTGCAACAAAAATGAATGAACATTTCAGAATAGATATGAATTAAAATAAATACAATGTTTTTACAAGTGATTCAAACTTCAGATGGATTAAGATTTACAAAATTATATTCATAACATTTCAATGATAGAATTAAGTTAGTCTAATCAGAATAATATACACTAGTAGAGAATCACATCATGTAATAACATATCACTGATGGTATGTATCCAATGGATATAATCAAAACAATATACATTCTTATGAAATTAATCATAAAATAACTCATTGTTAACATATACTAGCTTTAGAAGAACAATAATTTATTTAATAGCATCTAATATTTTTTTAGTACAACCCATTTCCTACAGGTTAACAAGAGCATATTGAAAAAAAGTGTGGTAAAATACATCTCTAACCATCTGTGTTTAAAGAAAATGACATACTTTAACAAAACTAAGGTAAATTTAATAAGATTAGTCAATATTGAATTATTTTACTCCAATACTAACTCATATTTTGAAAGTATACTCATTCTTAAAGAGGACTTTATTTATAGAAAGGAGGGGGTGATACATCAGAATCTTTATTCATTCAGAAATTTCATCAAACAGGTAGAATGCATGTATAGTTTAAGAGAATTTTCTCAAGAACCAATAATTGATTTCAATCAATCAATATGATGTTTGATTGCTGAAATCATGAATTATATATATATATATATATTAATTGGAGAAATGACTAGTAGCTTGATGAGTCAATCAGTTCATGTTACAAGGTTAACAATTGAACATGTTATATGCAAGTAACAATGAAAGCAATGAAAACACAGAGAAGAAAACTCAAACCTTGATCAATTGATGAAATCGTGATGTAGAGTAAAAATCACAGTTTGAAAGATCGTTAGCAATTGTTGAAGATGAAGATAAGTAGAAATCGATTGAACACTTGAACCTCTACCTTGGATGAAATCGATGATCACAGAGCTAAAATCGATAACAATCTTGTAATGAATTATTGGTGTCGATAGATGAAAATAAACTTCAATCACTCAGATTATCAATTGCAGATGTAGAAGAATGAAGAACATGAACTCAAAAAGCACAAAAATCGCAACTTTAATAACTATTATTTAGCATTGTTCGATCAATGTCCAAATCAAATTGATTATCGGTTGAAAGAATAAAAGATTTAAGGAGATAGAAGATTGATCGGAGTGAATTGAAGAACAATGCATGTTGATCCAGCGAATATCTTGGTAGAAGAATCGAAGCCGGTGATTTCTTGATGACATGAAGATAACGCTAACATTGAATCAGATCTGATCATCTAAAATTTAACCTAGTGACTAATCTACCCCTCGTTAACTAATCAATTAGATTAATTAGGGTTAATCACGTTTTTTTATGAGCCACAAAGATCAGTTTTGATCAAAGGTTAAGATTTGGTCCCCATGTCTCATAAAATATAAGTGGTCTCAAATGAACCTCTATATATATATATATATATAAATGATTGAAGCTAGAACCCTAAGTCAAGGATATTAAATTGAACATTCTGAATAGGTGATTACGTTAATTTAAGGTTTATTCCCAACATAACTAACTATAACTATAACAAAAGTATAAATACAAAATTAATATCTTTTATAAACACTTTTATGTTGTTTTTCTATTTTCTGAAATGGGCCGGCCCACGATAGCATAGCCTTGTAAGTTCTAACTTCTAAGCTCGTATATTTAATAAAATATAAACCCTAGATTCATCTCCTTCACTCTTCAGCGCCTCTAACGCAACACGCACAGAAATTGTGCAAGGATCGATCGAGAGAGCAGCTCGAGCTTCGGAAAATGAGTTACAAAGTTAGTATTCTTCATGTTTATCTCTTAAATTGATTTCTCCAGATTAAACCTAATCTCAATTTTTTAGTTTTACCTGTTATCGCTTGAACAAACTACGGTGTTTTCTTTTCTAGATTGCAATTTTGTATAGCAGAGTTATGGAATGCTGACATTTGATTGTTTATTCCGTTGTCTTCGTTGCAGTTCCATCAGTTTCAGGTTGTAGGCAGAGCCCTACCGACGGAGACAGATGAACATCCGAAGATCTATCGTATGAAGCTTTGGGCTACCAACGAAGTCCGTGCTAAGAGCAAGTTCTGGTACACATCGATAATCTCATTTCACCTTTTTTGCTCTCGATCCAATGAATTACATGTTATACACACATACTTTTGTATTTTGATTGTTTATTACATGGATCGATAATCATTGTATGGTGTTGGAAATCAGGTACTTCCTCAGGAAACTAAAGAAGGTGAAGAAGAGCAATGGTCAGATGCTTGCCATTAATGAGGTAATACTAATACTTATTTTTTTTATTGGTTTTGTGCTGAAATCATATACTTCATTACATAATATTTGTTCTACATGTACAGATTTTTGAGAAAAACCCAACGACTATTAAGAACTATGGTATCTGGTTGAGGTATCAATCGAGAACTGGATACCATAACATGTACAAGGAGTACAGGGACACAACCCTTAATGGGGGAGTTGAGCAGATGTACACTGAGATGGCTTCTCGCCACAGGGTGCGTCATCATTGCATTCAGGTGATCAAGACAGCTACCATTCCTGCTAAGCTTTGCAAGAGAGAATCCACCAAACAATTCCATAACTCCAAGATCAAGTTCCCATTGGTGTTCAAGAAGGTTAGACCTCCAACTAGAAAACTGAAGACCACTTACAAAGCTTCAAGGCCTAATCTGTTTGTCTGAGTGACCACAACCCTTCTCATCGCATTTTGTTTTTCATTTGGAATTATATGTTAGTTTCTACTCTTAATCTTGGATATTTGGTTTTCTTAAATGGAGATTGGTGTTGTTGCTTTGAGAATTACATTTTGTTACAGATCGAGACTTTATTTTTCTTAAATTATGCTTCGACTCTCTTTATCTTGATTACTCTCTTTGATTGGTGAAAAACCTTTATAATAAATTAGATTTTATTTTAATAAACATGTTTTTATATTGAAATAATAATTCTGCAAAATAACCATCTATGAACAAACAGAACATTTGTCTATATCTGATTTTCAATAGAAGGTATTCTTCATATTAGGCTCAGATTTGTATGAAATACCCAAACTATTATAATATAAACAACTAAATGTATTCTAGAAAAGCAAGATGGATATCATATGTTTGCAATGAATCGAAACAAATTATGACATAACTCTTTAAGACGAAATAAACTATTTAACACATATTTACTGGTAAAACCTCTATAAGACGAAATAAACTTGAAATCGTTACACTAATTAATGACATAACTCTCAGTGAGCATAATATATACTTTCAATTTGTTTAAAGTATCTACGGTGTTCAAATTAGGGTGCCAAAATTTAAATGCTTTGTTGACTTAATTTTGGATCTTTTAATTATTCTCTTCATAAGAATTGAACAAAGTTTTATCTCGATACCAAAGCTTTCATTCTTCTTAACTCATCGTTTAAGCAATGATAGGCACTATTAGGCCCTCTTCATTTGGCCCTCTTCATTTAGTATTAAAATATATAATCCATGTCCATATAAGATGAGTAAACAAAATGCATTTTTCAAAAACAAAAACCAAATTACATAATTTCCAAAAGCCACTACAAACTGTCTCAACTTTTATTACTCAATGCTAGCCTCCAAATGTTGTTGACTCAAAATCTCACGTCTAGATTGTTCTTTCATAAATTCAAGGTTTAAATGCAGAGAACGCCACAACAGAGTTATGTCCACCAAATCCAAACGAATTTGAAATTGCTGCACAGAATAATAATAATAATATTAGTTTGAATTAGTCAACTCATAACTCACCACAAATCATGACAAAAAAAAAAGGTGCATAAACCACAAGAAACTCACCAACGTTGATTTCATGTTGTTGCTTTATATTTGCAACTGTGTCAAATTCAACTGCAGGCTCTGGGTTCTACAATATCACAAAAGATAAATAACATGCCATGTTACGAAATCATAAAAAGATAGAAAAATAAAACAAGAGTTAAAATATACAAAATTAAAACGTACAAATTGATTAATGGTAGGATGAAGCCACGAGGTTTGAATGGCTTTAATGCTAGCAATGGCTTCTAGACCTCCGGCTGCACCTAAGCAGTGTCCAATCATAGACTGAAACAATAGAAAAAAAAAAGATCCAAATATCCAATCAATGATGTCAATATGGACATGTGAAAATTTTGCAAAGGACAAAATAGGTAATTCACCTTGGTCGAGTTCATTTTGATCCCATCCGTGCTTTTGAATACCTTCTTTACAGCATTTACCTCAGCCAAATCACCAACCAATGTCGAAGTTGCATGTGCGTTGATGTAGTTAACCTAAATATATTATTTACCAGATTAAGTCAGTCATTAAGTAAAAGACAATTTCGTCCAAATGAAAAACAAAAAGAAACAATTAAACAAACCTCCTCTGCTGACACACCAGCATCTTCAAGACAACTCTTAATGCAAGAAGAAACACCAAGCCCATCAGATCGTGGATCAGTCATATGATAAGCATCACAATTTACAGCTCCTCCTAAATATTCAGCAAGTATGGGTGCACCCCTTTTCATTGCATGTTCCAAGCTCTCCATCACCTACAACACCATTTCAATTTTTTTTATCTTATTTAAAAAAAAAATCCATCTACCTTGCTTTTTATATTATAGAAGAAAATAGATAAATGAAACTACATTGCTATTTCTTGCATTTAACATACCAGAACACCAGCACCTTCACCCATGACAAAACCATCTCTATCTTTATCCCATGGCCTAGAGGCCGTTTGTGGATCATCATTTCTCTGAGAGAGAGCTCTACAAGCCACAAAACCACCCAAACCAATAGGAATAATGGCAGCTTCGGTTCCACCAGCAATCATCATATCAGCCTCACCTCTACGAATATGATTTGCAGCAGCATAAAAGCAGTAATTTGAAGTAGCACATGCAGTTGAAATCGAGTAATTTGGTCCCATGAATCCGATATCAATAGCAAGCAACGCTGAACCCATGTTTGTAATCGCATAAGGAATGAAAAACGGAGTGATTTTTCTGGGACCTTTTTCGATTAGAGCCTTGACTCCATCGGAAAACACAGTAAGACCTCCCATTCCTGTTCCAACCAGGACACCAGCACGCTCTTTATCAATCTGCATAAACAGTAATTCAAATTCAAAAAAAAAAAAAGAGAAAAGGAAACTTCAATTAAACAAACAACTTTACCAGATTTGGGAGAATAAATCGGGAATGGGTTACGATTAACGAACCTTAGAGAGTTTATCGCCACCAAGACCAGCATCTTCAAGAGCTTTTTTACCAGCAACAATGCAATAACGGAGGCAATCGTCGAGTCTCCGATCGTTTTTACCGTCGATATACCCATCGGATGTAAACCCACGAATCTGACCACCGAATCGGGTCGGAAACTTGGATGCGTCGAACCTGTCAATCAACCCGATTCCGCTCTCCCCGGCTAACAATTTCTCGTAGTAGGTGTCAACGTCGTTTCCGAATACGGATACGAGACCCATACCTGTAATGACTACACGTTTTTTGGGGTCTGTTTCGCGTTTAGGTGCGGAGGCGGACATTACGATGGTGGCTCTGCGTGGGGCTGGGAGTGCGAGGGGTTTGACATTGATGTGGAATGAATGGTGGCGAAGAGGGTCGAGAGGGGAGACCCGAAGTTGGGTTGATTGGAGAAGAGCTTGAGATTGCATGGTGGTGTCGATGGAGAGGAGGCGATGATGAAAAATGGTGGAAGTATTAATAGCGCAGCGCTGCTACTTGTAACTTCAGTGTTTCATCGATACAAACGATGTTGAGGAGAAGTGGGCGGTGATGTTTGTTGACTGCGTGGCCGCGCGTGGCTTTTAGTGCGTATCAGAATGTTTTATTGGGATGTTTAAGTTGGATTTTATTTTTAGAGTAACATACAAAATTGGTTTATGTGTTTTGTTATTTTCTGCAAATCAAAATGTTTTATAAAAAGTTAATCCAGATATATTTTAGAGCATGATACAAAAAATATTCATGCGTTGTGACGTTGTGTTATTTTCAGGGCTGGCCTTAAAAAATCTTTTGCTATAAACAAATTTTATAAACAGGCAAAGGGTAAAAGGGTAATATTCTAGATGGTAGATATTGTTTTTTTTTTTGAACGGCGAAAAGATCGTAGATATTGTTATTCTTTAAAAATATCATAAATTGAAGAAGGCTCATATATTAAATTAGTCACAATTTTAGCAGGTATTATAGAATGACCATGTGGTCCGTGAATTTACGAGTTTTTAATCAAAATATTGTAGTTGAAAAAAATATTAACGAAAGTATAGTACTTTTGAATTTATTTACCATTTAAACGTATTTTTTAATAAAAAAAGAATTATGTTAGGTCTCTTGATACCCATCAGCTACTCCTGAAAGCTGAATCACGCTTAATAATCTCCTGTATAACCATTGATTACCGGGGTTTATTCTTCTTCTCTAATCTCTAGTGTTCCATTTTTCTTAACAAATGATTGTTTTTTTTAAATTAAACAAACTATTTTTGTTCTAATTTTTTTTTGGTTCTTAGAAAATTCCAAGAACTATCTTATCATGGCAAGTCTTTCATTTCTTTAGAAAACTAGAGTTATTTTTCTAAGTCGATTGAAATGACAAAACTCACTTTACAAACATTTTTCTCTTCTTTCACGATTTTGATCTTTTATTTAATTTTGTTTTCCAATATGTATAGACAACTGATGCGTACTTTCAAAAATATTCTTTGTTTACATAAATATACATTGACAATGAGACCAATATAAATATTGTACTGATGCAAACTTCCAGAAATTAAGAAGATCCTTAATTAATAGATCCGACTACATCTTCATTATGGTTGAAAACAAGGTTAGTTATAACTGCTCATTAAAGATCAAGATGGTGTAATTTATAGAAGAAGTATAAGTATATCACAATTCTATATTCAGCTAATGAAACAAGTCTATAGAAAAAGTATAAGTATATCACAATTCCATATCCAGCTAATAAAACAATATGATATGGGATGTTCATTGTTGAACCAAGTATAGTATACAATACCAAAATCCCAAAAATTATATATTATGACATTGATGTTATTCTAAATATTTGTATAATAAATGACTTAGTTCTTTCGATCTACTTCTTGGTGGTGTGACTCCATTCAAGATTAGTTTTGTATAAGTGTGAGAGCATTTGCACAGGTGATACACACCTTTTGCAATTGTGTCTGAGTGTACTAGTTAGCAAAACTTGTACAAGATTTTAAGACTACCTAAAACTTTTAATATATTGTTTTAATGTATCAATCATCGATGGTGTACCAGTGGAGATGAAAAGAGTATCTTCGTCGAAGTGGTTAAACTCTTAGGTGCTGTTGTTTTTTCTGAGGCAAAATGTCTGCAGTCTGCGGACCACATCTGTAGACCTCTGCAGTAGAAGAGGTGGACCAAACGTCTGCAGTCTGAAAAAAGAAGATTGTTTGCTTTTTTAACATCTGCGGGCTACTAAAATAAACTGAAATCTAAATAAACTGATTTTTTTAAACTTCAAAGTGATTTTTTTAATATTTTTATGACTTTGTTATAAATAATTAACGAATCCAGATCAACTTTTATGTATTATTGTATAAAAAATAAAAATAAAAATGGTATGAATTAATGTATATATTTGATAAAAACCAACAATTTTGGTTGCAAAGTTATAACTAAACATTATAATTAGTGATCAAAGAATTTGATACATAAATAGATGGAAATAAACTTCGATTTTTTCAATTAAATCCATTAAAAACGTACCATAAATATTTTCTCGAGAAATTGACGATACTGTATTAA